CCCCATGGCCGTCACTCCCGCGGCTGTCATGCTGTTCATGGCGCCCGCGGAGCCCCCAGGCATGCCAGCCACCGTGCCAGGGCTCAGGCCGGCGCCCAGGCCAGGATTTGCGTAGGACATATTGAACGAAGCTGGGGTCATGTTGCCGCTTGTGGTCATGGTGTTCATGGTCATGTAGGTGTTCATGGAATTCATGGAGCCCAGGCCCGAGTTCATGTTGCTGACCGGGACTGAGGAATAGGCCTGGAGTGGAGAAAGCGGGCGAAGAGGCCCCGAAGGGCAGAGTTAGCTGTGCGCGAACCCCACGGCTAGAGGAGAGCATAGGACCCCTTACCCAGGGCAAACCGGCAGGCGCTCTCCCCAGAACGAACAAATGTCTTGCACCACAGGGAAAAAATCCTAGCGTGGCAGGCATGAAAGACAAGCTCACAGCAAATGTCCCAAGGAAAATGTGTAATCCCCTTACACCCCAGACGCCAGGGCTGGCTTCTGGGGTCTCTCCACCACCTCTTCCTTCCAGGCCAGGAGGCCTCCGCAAAGAAAGTGCCCTTTGGTTAAAAGGAGTTAAAACTCCGAAAACAGGATTAATCTCTGACCCTCTGGTTATTCACTCCACCGTTAGAGTGCGGTGCGTTGGCAACAACTCAGCACCCATCTCACCTACACCTGCCAGGCTGGCTGACCAAATAGCAGCCATGTATCTGTGGGGTGGCTATTAATTAAACTCTCTTGATAGAATAAAGCATCCACAGCCATATGAATATCCATTTCTCAACTGGCTTTACTGTCTTGGCAGTTTTTGTCAAATGGTGACTTTGTGTTGTTTATTATATTTAGAAATAGTATTATCCATCTACCTGTAGCAACTGTAATATAGAGAGAAACTCACAGGTTAAATGGGTTTTGGAAAAGAAATGCAAAATAGACCTACAACAGGGGAAGGTTCAGGAAGGGTTGCATGATAATATCAATACAGTTAACTGTAACATGACTACATGTACACTTCTTCAAGCCATTCAAAAATGTGCACTGATTTCATTACGTATTTCCAGTCCCCTGATGTTTGAAGATTTTGTGACACAGCTTGTTGAAATATTCATCTATTTTTTTCCCACATACTGACATGTTGCTGCTGATCATTACAAACCCTGGCTAATAGTTTTCAAATACTTTAAAATTCCAAAATCAAAGTCTACTTATTTTTTACTTCCCAAATCTCCGCTTTAACCTGTAAGGAACCCCCCTTTTCCACAGAGGGCTTAATTAACCAGTGGGTTGAGATGACTGCATCTGAATTAAACCTGAGAAAGAGTTCTGAGCTCCTTTTAAAATCACCAGTAGGAAAAAACCCTTATCCACAGAAATTTTGGAATGCAATAGATATGTTAAAAATATAGAGTCCAGACATATAACAGCTACTTCTCTGATAACTTAATAAAAATAATGATATTCTTAAATTTATTTTCGTCAGGAAATACGACTTTATTTTAAAACAAAAGGTGAAAAGATTTAACTAGGCACAGGCTGCTATGGTATATGCAAATAAACTCTGAGTTAAGTTTGTGAAGATATAAATATACAAATCTAAATCAATTAATTACCATGACAATATTTCCTGATGCCATATTTTTCTATGCCTTAAACTATGTTTCACTTGTTTTTTTTTCTTTTCCTCTCCCCGAAACTGTCCAAGGCAGTTTCAATAATGATAAACTTTTTTGAGAGGTGATCACCATTTGTTTCCAGAGAAATTTACTGGTGGTGGCCCGGCCAGTACCTGATTTTCCTCGCAATCCCTTTGTGCACACTGTAAAATAAACTATATGAACGTGCCACCATGGGGACAATAAAGAGAAACAGGTTCGCCTGGAGGAAAAGTCAGCTTGCACCAGCGCCACCCAGCGGTTCTAGGGAAGAACGAACACACTTCTCCTCAAACAGCTTTTGAAGAAGTTTTATAAAATTTTGGAATCGGCGCCTTATTAAGTCGCTCAACTGAGCGGCCAAGAGCTTTCATCGGAACACCTCTGCGAATTCAACTGCGGGAGGAAGAGCCGCCCTTGTAGGCAACTGATGGCTTTGTCACAGTGGCCCCAACTCCTGCCAGCGCCGACCCGCCAACCGCGGCACCTCGCGCCGGCTCGGGCTCGGGCTCCCCACGCGGAAGTGGAAAATGCTTCCCAGGGCGGGTGCTTTCAAAGCCCAGAATATCCCGAAATCCTTTCGCCCGTTCCCAGCGCCGAGCGCCGTGTCTCGGCCCCCCTCGCCGGGCAGTGGGTTTGGCTCCGAGGCCTCTCC